AAGGTTGTGGTTATAGTTAAGGTGGTTATGGTTATAGTTATAGTGGTTATGGTTATGGTGGTTATGATTATAGTTATGGTTATAGTGGTTATAGTTAAAGTTATAGTGGTTATAGTTAAAGTTATAGTGGTTATGGTTTTAGTTTATGGTTATAGTTATGGTGGTTATGGTTATAGCTATAGTGGTTATGGTTATAGTTATGGTTATGGTGGTTATGATTATAGTTAGGGTTATAGTGGTTATAGTTAAAGTTACGATGGTTATGGTTATAGGTATGGTGGTTATGGTTATAGTTATGGTGATTATGATTATAGTTATGGTGGTTATGGTTATAGCTATAGTGGTTATGGTAATATTTATGGTTATGGTGGTTATGATTATAGTTAGGGTTATAGTGGTTATAATTAAAGTTACGATGGTTATGGTTATAGGTATGATGGTTATGGTTATAGTTATAGTGGTTATGGTTATAGTTATAGTAAGGTTATGGTGTTTAAGATTATAGTTAGGGTTAAAGTGGTTATAGTTAAAGTTATAGTGATTATGGTTATAGTGGTTATGGTTATAGTTATGATGGTTATGGTTATAGTTATGGTTATGGTGGTTATGGTTATAATTATGATGGTTATGGTTATGGTGGTTATGGTTATAGTTAGTGTTATGATAGTTATGATTATAGTTCTGGTTATGGTCATATAGTGGTTAAAGTTATAGTAGTTATATTTATATGCTATACATATAGTGGTTATTGTTATAATTATGGTTGTGGTTATAGTTATGGTTATAGTTATAATTATGGTTAAATTATACTTATAGAGGTTGTAGTTAAGGCTATGGTTATAGTTATGGTTGTGGTTATAATTATGGTGGTTATGGTTATAGTTATGGTGGTTATAAATATAGTTAATGTTACGGTCATATAGTGGTTGTAGTTATAGGAGTTATATTTATATGCTATACTTATAGTGGTTATAGTTATAATTAAAGTTATGGTTGTGGTTTTAGTTATAGTTATAATTATGGTTATAATTGGTTATGGTTATGGTCTTATAGTGGTTATAGTTAGAGTGGTTATACTTGTATAATTTATAGTTCTGGTTATAGTTATTATTAAAATTATAGTGATGATTATGGTGATGATTATAGTTCTGTTTCTGGTGAGTGTAGAGTTACCGCGTGTGTCCTGGTCCTGTATGTGTGCGCTGAGCTCCAGGCTGTCGGTCAGCACACTGATGATGTCATCACGAGCGCAGCAGCCGCTCTGCAGCATGTGCTTCCCAGCATCCTTCAGCACCAGAGCAGCAGCAGATGCGTTTCCAGCCGTTCTGTAGCTCTCAGCCGCTCGCTGGAGACTCTCTGCAGCCTCAGTCCACTCCTGAATACACACACACACACACACACACAAAGGCCTGTAATGCCTTTACCTGTAATGCACAGTAAGGCTAATGATAATGTTGTATGTCGTGCAGACCTGTGTGAGCTGCTGGCAGTGTGCGAGTCTGCAGCATGCGTCTCCCTCTGCATCTGCGTCTCCCTGTGATCTGTAGAGCTGCGCCGCCTGCTGATAGTGTGTTTTGGCCTGTTCCAGCTCCTGCAGCGCCTCATGTGCCGTGGCCAGGTTAAACTGCAGGTCTGCCATGCGCTGTCCTCTCGCTCCCGGCTGCAGACGCATCAACACCTCCAGACCCTTCTGTGCGTCTCCAGACTCCACATATGCAGCGCCCAGATTCAGTGCACAGGCCCTGCGTACACGCCGCTCTCTCTGCTGACACACACGCGCACGATGCACAGAATTATTATTATTATTATTTTGAATTTTCATTATTATTATTATTTTAAATTATTATAGCTAGTATTTATTATTTCATTCAATTTCCTCCAATTTAGTCCCTTTGTTCATCAGGGGTCGCCACAGTAGAATGAACCGCCAACTACTCCTGCATGTTTTACACAGAGGATGCCCTTCAAGCTGCAACCCACATTCACACACACACACACACACACACACACACACACACACACACACACACACACACACACACACTCATACACTACGGCCAGTTTAGTTGATCAGTTCCCCTATAGCGCATGTGTTTGGACTGTGGGGGAAACCGGAGCACCCGGAGGAAACCCAAACCAACACGGGGAGAACATGCAAACTCCACACAGAAACATCAACTGACCCAGCCAGGACTCAAACCAGTGACCTTCTTGTTGTGAGGCAACAGTGCTAACACATACGTGTGAATGTGTGTGTGTGTATTCTGACCTTGCTGGCGGTTTTGAATGCGCTCTTGAAGTGCTGCAGCGCTGCATGATAATCTCTGCTCCGCAGCGCCGCGTGTCCTGCAGTGGTCAGTCTGTGTATCTGCACCTGAGCATCTGAATCCTCCACATCTGCTTTATTCTGCTTCTGCTTCTGTTTCTGATCAACATCTCTGACTGTAGACCCATCAGAGGCCATCAACTCACAGCAGATCACAGCGCATGATGAGCAGCCTGATGAACACACACACACACACACACACACACACACACACACACACACACACAAACACATATATATAAATACATACATGCATACACACATACAGTACTGTATATACATGCATACACACACAAACACTTAAACATACATGCACACACATATATATATAAACATTTACTGTATATACTGTAGTTACATACACTCACCGGCCACTTTATTAGGTACACTTGTCCAACTGCTCGTTAACACAACTTTCTAATCAGCCAATCACATGGCAGCAGCTCACTGCATTTATGCATGTAGACATGGTCAAGAGGATCTGCTGCAGGTCAAAGCGAGCATCAGAATGGGGAAGAAAGGGGATTTAAGTGACTTTGAACGTGGCATGGTTGTTGCTGCCAGACGGGCTGCTCTGAGTATTTCAGAAACTGCTGATCTACTGGGATTTTCACGCACAACCATCTCTAGGGTTTACAGAGAATGCTCCGACAAAGAGGAAATATCCAGTGAGCGGCAGTTCTGTGGGTGCAAATGCCTTGTTGATGAGGTCAGAGGTCAGAGGAGAATGGCCAGACTGGTTCCAGCTGATAGAAAGGCACAGTAACTCCAGAGGTCAGAGGAGAATGGCCAGACTGGTTCCAGCTGATAGAAAGGCAACAGTAACTCAAATAACCACTCGTTACAGCCGAGATCTGCAGAAGAGCATCTCTGAACACACAACATGTCAAACCTTGAGGCGGATGGGCTACAGCAGCAGAACACCACACCGGGTGCCGCTCCTGTCAGCTAAGAACAGGAAACTGAGGCTACAATTCACACAGACTCACCAAAACTGGACAATAGAAGATTGGAGAAACGTTGCCTGCTCTGATGAGTCTCGATTTCTGCTCACACATTCAGATGGTAGAGTCAGAATTTTGTGTCAACAACATGAAAGCATGGATCCATCCTGCCTTGTATCAGCGGTTCAGGCTGGTGGTGGTGGTGGTGTAATGGTGTGGGGGAGATTTTCTTTGGGTCCATTAGTACCAATTGAGCATCGTGTCAACGCCACAGCCTACCTGAGTATTGTTGCTGACCATGTCCATCCCTTTATGACCACAGTGTCTCCATCCTTCTGATGGCTACTTCCAGCAGGATAACGCAGCATGTCATAAAGCGTGAATCATCTCAGACTGGTTTCTTGAACATGACAATGAGTTCACTGTACTCAAATGGCCTCCACAGTCACCAGATCTCAATCCAATAGAGCCAACCTTTGGGATGTGGTGGAATAGGAGATTTGCATCATGGATGTGCAGCCGACAAATCTGCAGCAACTGTGTGATGCTATCATGACAATATGGAGCAAAATCTCTGAGGAATATTTCCAGCAGCTTGTTGAATCTCTGACACCAAGGATTAAGGCAGTTCTGAAAAGGGGTCCAACCCGGTACTAGTTAGATGTACCTAATAAAGTGGCCGGTGAGTGTAGATACATATATATGTGTCACATACAGCATATACTCACATAAACACATGTGCACACACAAATAAATACACATACAGAAACAAACAAATACACAAATGTACTGTACACACACAAACATACATAAACACACACATACATTTACAACATATAAGTTAACACACAAACGTGCTGCGCACACACAAATACATAAACCACATAAACACACGCATAAACATATACTGTACATAAACACACACATAAACCTACACGCACTAACATATACAAATACACACTCGTATAAATACACAACAAACACACATGGTTATTACACATTTGTTATTGAAGCTGTTATGCTATAATAACTATTATTATGAAGACAATAATTACAAGTTCACAGAAGGATCATGGATCATGTGTTCTTCAATTATATCTCTTCTGGCTTAAAACACACACACACACACACACACACACACACACACACACACACACACTTATAATATAAGTTATGAATGAGCCGGAGCTGACTGTGCAGAATGCAGGACCATAATAACACACTCCAGCAGTTTGTGTTCAGTTTTAAAGTGTGTGTTACTGGCAGAAAGGATTCACACTTCACTAATGAATCATTCATCAGCTTCTAGAGTGTCACTTAAAACACACACACACACACACACACACACACACACAGTTACCACAGCAAACACACACACACACACACACATTGCAAACACACTGTATGACCACACACTGACCACTCTCAAAGACTTTAGTAATAACTATAGCAGAGAGAATGTGTGTGCGTGCGTGTGTGTGTGTGTGTGTGTTTAAGAGCCGCACTTACACGACTGAATCCAGATGGCGATGATGATGATGATGATGATGAAGATGAGTATGATGATGATGATGAAGAGTGTTTCCGGTGCGGCTCCTCATGTCTGATGTTCATCTCTGTCTCTCTGTAGACATCAGCTGCTCAATATAAACACACACAGCAGAGCAGACGGACAGGTGTGTGTGTGAGTCTTTCTCTCTTACCTGAGCAGGTGCGGGTCACGCATTTACATCCGTCGCCATGGAAACGTGACGTAACACGTAAACATGGCTTCCTCTTCTGTGATTATCTGCGTTATTCTATTCGGATAAGAGACCCCAGGTATAAAAACAACTCTATTATCAATTATAGTTGATACTAAAGTGTATTATATTATAGTTTGAACAATTATTTGCTCCAGCATACTGAAATACATTAATATTAATAAATTAACTATAGTGAACTGATCAACTCTAACAAACACAGCATACTTTAGTTTTTACTACAGTGAAATGTGATGTATTGTAGTATATAGTCATAGAAAACTACAGTATTACATTTGTTTATATTACTGTACTTGTGTTACTGTAGCAACAATCAAGTTTAGTTTCAGTACTTTACTATAGTAAAGTTAAAAAACACTACAGTATTTACTGTAATTTACTATATTTTCTAATGTGTGAAACCTATTATATATATCAAATATATTTTTTAACAAAACTAATATTTTTTTTATTGATGACTAATTTCCCAAGTTATCTCTGAAAAATAAAGTTTGCATGTTTATTTGGGGACGTTTTTTTCTTGAAAATATTAACATAAAGAGTCCTCGCTAAAAGTCGCAACTCTTATTTTACACAAAAATTGTTGTGAAAATATACAAAAAAGCTTGACTTGAAACTTTCATTTAAAAATAAGGGTAACATAATATAATCAAACAGATAGAATTGTTAAAAATGATTGCATTTCTGGTTTTTATCAACAGGTCTGATGTCTGACGTCAGCGAAAAAAAAAGTATAAAAAAGGATGCATTTTTACATGAACATTTGCATCCTCTATGGATCTATTTATGTCAATTTATATTTATGGTTTACAATAATGAACACGATGACTTTTAAAAGAATTCGCTTTTACTTTTTTATTTTTATTGAAGCGTAACTGGCAAGCATACAGGGTTGTATGATAACATATGTAGAAGTCATACAAAACTTAGTGATGCAGAACATACATTAAATAAAAAATACCACATTATATATATATATATATATATATATATAGGGGAATCCATCATTTCTGCATTATTGGAAAGGTTTTATAGACTTTTTGTTTCTTGTAATTGAGGTCAAAGAATTATAAAATGTTTTCATCTTTATATTTATAATCTTTACAGAAAAAATTAATAGAGGGAGTAATAGACATTACTTTTGCCTTGTGTATGTGAAACTTCCAAGAAAAATGATCAACTTCAAATCATTATTGAGTGCATCATAACCAGTTTTACAATTCAAAAAAGAATCATGCATTCATCAAAGTTAATTATTTTGTGAAATGAATAAAAAAACAACCCTGAAACCTGTTTCCAAAAATCATGAGAAAATTCACAAGTACAAAAATAGAGGTAGAAGACTTTCAGGCTCCGTGTTACAAAAGGAGCATTGTGGAAATGTCTGTTTTAAATTTATTAATAAATATATTTCAGAGATAGTAGTACCTTTGTAATGTTTTGAAGTGATTTTTCCCCGTATTTGGAAGTAAAAGCCTATTACTTGTTGACCAAATATCATCTATAAAAGGTAAAGAAAAAGTTTGTTTCCATTTTAAAATGGCTTTCAGGAAACAACTGCTATTTTGAATTAGACTGTCTAATATGGAAGTTATTACCTTTTTTTGTCTAAGATACTGATACCACCAAGTACAGTTTTTAAACTTGCTTTAAGAGTTATGAGTAAGATAATGCTTATTAAGTGAAGCGGTTTATTTATCAGAGATGCTTTTTACAATCAAATTATAATCATTATGCAAAAAAAAATCCCTGAAGAAGAAAGAACTTATTGATAAGTATAAATTTCAACACTGCTATTAAGTAAATCTGAAGCAAAAATATTTCCCTTGTCAAACCAATCTGAACACGGTGACTTTTCAGAGGTCTACTGTTTGACAGCTTACTCAAACTACAACACCCATAATGCACAGCCCCGCGCGCCGCCGTGATTACCAGGGTGGAGCCATTCGGCATCCAATGAGACGCGGGCGGGATTTTCAAAACCATAAACAACTGACAGACCACAGGACTCGCGTTTCCAAGCCGCATTTAATCGTTTAATTATCAATCACAGGCGAATTAAAGTTTAAATTCAGTTGTTGATATAGATGTGTTAAAGCTTTTTTAAACTAAGAGTGTCAGTAATTCGAGCTTTGAGACAGTAACGGTTTCCTGAGGAGAATATCAGGAATTATCCACAACGGCGAGTGTTTGTATTGATTGATTGATCAATTAACTTATTCAGATATCGACTGAAGCTGTAACGTACAGAGATGGGCGACGGTGTGCAGCAACGCTCTGTTTGTAAGTACCGACATTAAAACATTCACACGAATAATCATTTCATCAAAATAGACGTTCGTTGCGATTTCTGAAGGGTTTATATGAGGCCCAGTCTGTGGCAGATCGAGCACAGGCAAATAGATTATATTTTACATCGAAAGAAACGCGTAAACAAAGAAGAAAGTCAACATATGAACTGCCATAACGTTAGATGTGTTTTATTTATTTTCCCTATGTATTTTAATCCACTATTTTAGATGAGGGTCTTAATGACACGGTTTAGCTGTGATTAATCAGAGCTTGAAGTGGTGTTATATTCCCACCTTCCTTCATTTTTGAGCAGTGACACGGTTCCTATACTGCTACTTTGAATATTCGGTCTGAAATGGCTTGTAAGTATGACTTCAACACAACATTAGCACTATTTAATTGACTGAGGACAATGTTGTACTCTAATAGTCATTGCTAAAGTTAATGTGATTTCCATGTTTAGAATTTGCAAAGAAAACTTTTCTGAATTTATATTAATAAGAAAGTGTGACTACAGCTTTACCTCAAATATTCAGGGATTAAATAGTAAAATTAACAGAAAGATGGCTACAACATGGTGTAATTTTTACACAGAGATTAGTTTGCCTATTAGCAAAATCTGTGCTTTATTTGCAAGTGTTTACTAGGCATGGGCCGGTATAAGCTTCTGAAGCGTGGTATGATGGCCCTGGATAAAAATATTACGGTATTGTGATTACTGCTCTAAAATATATTCTTTTTAAATGTCTGGGTAAAACATAAATATTTTTTCCCCTTTGAAAACAATACTTTTTTTTTTTAAAGATTCATAATATTTTAGAGCAGTAAAACATGTCAGGCTAAATAATATAAATAAATCTTTGACTTCTGCTGTCTTCATTAGTTTCAAAAACAGATTTCTTTACTATTTAAAACGGCGTCTTTGGATATTTTTTCTGCAGAAGATACTGTTGTCCTAAAAAAACAAACAAACAAACAAACTAACAAAAAAAAGTAAATAAAAAAAATCTTACACGTACCTTTGGAAGATTGTGCAGAAAACTTTGGTGGTTTTAAAACCTTGACTTCTCCAAACCTTGAAAACAGTATTGTCCCATGCGGTTTCCCAGTGGAAACCCTTGAAAATATGAAGCAATAAATGTGTTTTTTACATCCTGAAAAGTATCTCTTCATATAAATGTAAATTGAATTGATTCTTAACTATTTTTTATTTAATTTTTATTTTTTTAATAGCCCTGAGTAGGGTTGTAACGGTATGAATTTTTCACGGTATGATAATCGACTAAAACAATACCACGGTTTGACGGTTTCGCGGTATACGGTATGTTACAAATGTTACAAAATATTAGAACAGTGAAGCAAATTTGACTTTTTCCAAATAATATATTTTTAGTTACTATAAACAACACCACTTACAATGAACAAATAAAAATAAGAAAATAATAAATAATGTGTCAAAGTCCAAATAAAGTCCAAATAAACATGGTGCAAATCCTTAGTAAAAAAATAGATATAAATATTTACTATACTATAAATAGTTACATAACGAAACTAGATTCAATATGGAACATCCTTAGGTTTTATGTGCCAGCATGGATATGGATATGGTTGTCTGCAATGCAATGCAACGCTGACTGACAGACGCGCTTCGTACAATAAACTGATCCCAGATCAGCGTCTGTACACGCCGTTTACAGAGGAGCGGGTGTATGTTTAAACAGACAAATACACTGAATAATATGAAACATCTCCGTCCTGCATGTTTTACTTTAAACAGCTTATTTTCTCTTAAATGAGAACAAACAGTTTCTAAAGTAATGGACTGCTTTCATTATAGATCTGTGCATTCTTACAGAGACACCTCTGTTATCAAACTAAACAAAACATGAGATTCATTTGCTGCGCACTTGTTTGATAACAGAAGTGTCCCTTTAAATGGCGCGTACAGACGCTGATCTGGGATCAGTTTATTGTATGGAGCGCGTCTGTCAGTCAGCGCTTATACATGCATTCACTGGTTCAGAGGTTGCAAAGTGAAAGGCGACAATCAGCGCACAGTAATGTAAAGAAAGTGGGATAGAATGGTAAAATATGGGAGAATTTCAGCAAAAACGGGAGGGTTTATGTGAGTGAAGTGAACAGGAAGTGTTTGTGGAGAAACAGTTTTGCGAGATAACGCAAAACATCTTTGCGAGGGAACGCAAAACTTTGCGAGAGAACGCAAAAAACTTAGAAATATATATTTTCCTCCCACCCATTTTTTTCTTTCACCCATTATTTTTTTTCACCCACCCATTTTTTTTCTCCCCCACTACGTCCCTTCCGGGGTTCCGTATGTTTCTGTGCTGCTGTGCATGCAAAAGTACTTAGTATGAGAATTATTTTATGCAAAACATTTTTTTTTTTGCGTTTTGTTTAGCCGCGCAGAAATGTATGCCTATCTCTCATTCCGTGTTGTTCAAAAAGCTTGGTCCACAAACAAAAGCG